GTCCTTGCTTAGCATGCAGGAAGACCTGGCTTCGGTCTCCAGCATTGCATGAAACTGTGGTGGTTGACCCTTGTAACCCCAGCACTCAGGAGGTTGAGGCAGGAAGACAGGAAATCAAACTCATCCTACATAGCGATTTCAAGGCCAGCCTGGGCTGCATGAAAACTTGTCTCAGAAACCAAAACAAACTAAATTAAGAATGAGAAGTGGGTAACAGAACTGCAGAACTGTTTGAACCCCTAAATCCTTGAGACCATGGCTGTCTTCCTGAACAAGTTGGTCAATTGAGAAGGTCGTTCTGATAAAGAGATAAAGTACAAAATATAGAGGACCTTGTCCTTAGGGTATAGCAAGAAAGCTGGGCATTTATCTATATGCTGACCCCTGCTGTACCAGCTGAGTGGGGCCAGCTGTGACGATGATGACAATCGCAATGTTAACCTTGTTGGCCAAAGGCAGCAGCTGTATCTCCCAGGGAACTATATTTTACACACTTTCATCCTGTGGTGGCCCCATTAGCGCATAGGACAGGAACTGCTTTCAGGTTGGATCTGAAAGCTGATCGAAATGAAGCATTCTGTGCAAAAATTCTACCATACTGTGCTGAGATAAAACTGGGAAGAAGGGCTGGAGAGATGGCTCACCATTTAAGAGCACTGGCTGCTCATCCAGAGGACCTGGGCTTAATTCCCAGCATTCACATAGTGGCCTCCTGTAACTCTGGTTCCAGGGGATCCAACACCCTCTTCTGGCCTCACCAGGCATGCATGTGGTAAACAGATATAGTGGTATAGGCAAAACACCCATCCATATAAAATGATAATGATGATGGTGATGATGATGATGATGATGATGATAAAGCTAGAAAGAGTCAGGCAGTGGTGGTGCACGCCTTTAATCCCAGGATTTGGGAGGCAGAGGCAGATGGATCTTTGTGAGTTCGAGGCCAGCCTGGTCTATAGAGCGAGATTCAGGAAAGGCACAAAACTACACAGAGAAACCCTGTCTTGAAAAGCAAACAAACAAACAAAAAGCTAGAAAGAAGCAGGACTACAAAGAGGGAAAAGTTAGGCTGTCTTGGTCTCCAAAAGGGCCTTAACCTATCACAAGCCCTTCAGAATTGTCCTGACCTGGTGGGAAGTGTCAGGGCAATGTCAGTAAGTGCAAGTTGTACTGGGAAAAAGATGTGACCATAGGCAGGAGGACAAGTAAGGACAGCAACTGAGAGGAAAGTTCAATTGGCTGTCCCTAGGAAACTTGTCAGCATGTAGAGACCCTACTTCAGGCCCCTAGCACCCACACACCCACCTCAGACCTCTGCTGAGCTCCGGAAATCCCCTCCCCCACTGGAAATTGGACACTGTGACCTTAATGCCTTCCAACCCAGCCACAGCCCTCACTGTTCTGGGTCACGAGAGAGAGCTTTCCTGACAGAATTTTCGGGTTGACCAAAAGAAAAGGAGGCTTGGAGGAGATTATGCTGTCTGCTCCAGGCCTGGTCCCTTAGCCCCCAAAGAATAGAATCTCAGAGAATCTTTCTGGGGACTTCTGGAAAGAACCAAAGTGGTGATCAGGGTCCCAGTGATGTTCCGTGTCCCTGGCCAACCCCAGGAGCAGACAGCTGCTTCAGAAAGGCCTTGGCAAAGGCTATGGCTGAGGGGTCAACAGGGGTGAGGAAGGGAGTGGACAGAAAGCGGAGCACTAGGGAGGCGCTCCGCTGGCTCTCCCAGGAGCAGCCATCCTGCGGCAAAGACCTAGGAAGGAAATCCTTGGCCTGGTTTTGCAGTCCGCTAGTTTGGGGCCATCTACTCAACATCATCTGAGTGTTACATGTGGGGGTAGAGGGACTTAATTGGGTACAACGAGAAAGTACAAGTAAGAGAATCTGCTTCAGAAGCAGGAGGCCAAGGGGCAGGAACCCAAAGAAAGCTCTGCAGTTTCTGCTGGGGACACCTAAGAGGATGCACCAGCTCCTGCCTAGAGAGCCATGGGCTTTCTTACCCATTCATGGGAGTGGTGAGAGTGAGGACCCTAGCACCGGCCAGGAGAGCATAGTCACAGAAGGAGTTTTGTTTTATTTTGGTTTTAGCTCTGCCACCTTTCTCCTCCCCACCGACACATCCCTTCATGACCTTGTGACTCCTCTGTTAGGTCTCCTGGCTTTGGCTTCGAGAGAAAGCCAGGCAGGGCGGGGCGGGCTGGAGACCCGGAGGGAGTGAGGCGGGCAAGAGGCTGAGCCAGTTGCGGAGTCTGCAAGGTGCAAAGCAATCAGCAGAGCCGCTGGTAAGCGGGGTCACTCAGTAGTGTGCACATCAGGGTGAAATCCTTTCAGCTCTTCGCCAAACCCCTAGTGAAAGACAATCAGGCTCGCTGTCACCGAGCTAATTCTGTCTATATAAAAGCAGTAATGAAATTCACGGCAGGATTACCCTCTCCATCCAATGGGCCAGCGTCGTGGTGACATATCTCTCTTATTGCCCGAATGTAACACACCATCTAATTTACGTCGTGTAGCGAGCAGGAATGAAATGTTCATAAAGAATTGCTGCATCTCGTCACCTTAACTGCGGCCCGGGGCTCTGAGGCATCTGTCAGGGAGAGGAGCAGGAGCAGGAGGAGGGAGGGCGGGCGGGGCTCAGGGAGCAGCCGCCAGGGCCAGAGGCTTCTGTGGGGTGGTTGTTTCTTAATAGGGTGAGGTGGAGGCAGAGGGGAGCTGGGGCCAGAATGAGGGGGAGGTCGGGAGGAGAGAGGAGAAAGGAGGGGTGCAGGAGCTTTGGGGAGATGAGGATGAATAGGGGCAGAATGGAGTGGCCTGTGGGGAGTGCTGGGAAGTCTGTAGGTCTGAGAGGTCAGAGGGAGAGGATGCATGTTTGGGTTTGGGTGAGTTGGGGAGATGAATGTGAGTGCCTAAATAACAAGGGGTTGCTTTAGGGGAAATGACCTTCTCAATGCCTCCCAGGTTCACAGGGATTTTGATCATTTCTTCATCCTCGAGAAATGGAAATCTACTCACCTCAGAAGGCATCAGAACTAAATGCACCAGTGGCCAGGAAGGAAAACCTTTTCCAAAAGTCTTCAAGGAGCAGATAAATGCTCAGAACAAGTTTTACAGACCCAGAAGTCAGCTGGGCGGTGATGGCACACACCTTTAATCCCAGCACTTGGGGAGGCAGACGCAGGCGGAGCTCTGAGTTCCAGGCCAGCCTGGGCTACAGAGCCAGTTCCTGGACAGACAAGGCCACACAAGGAAACCCTGTCTTGAAGAAAAACAAAAACAAAAACCCAAACCTGAGAGTCAGCTGTGCTCCTGCCTGGTCTCCACCTGCAACTGTAGGTCCCAACTATCAGTGAGCCTTCTCAACTCAGAGAGCACAGAGCTTGCCCATTCTAGTCTCTCCCATCACCCTTCCCACCCCACTCCAAGGTCACTGCCATCTGTTGCCTAGAAAACTCAGCACCACCACTGTCTCTGAACTGAAAGCATTGCAGTGGTGTCCTCTTGCTCTTGAGAGAAAGCCCAGAACTTACCTCTCCAGCTTCTTTGCTCAATGTTCATGGTTACAAACCATGTTCTAGTCATGTTCACCTTTCCTGGAGGTCCAAACATGCCACAACAGAAGCAGCCACTAGGAAAGACTTCCCTTAACAACTGCAGCACTGGCCAGGCAGTGGTGGTATGTGTCCTTAATCCCAGCACTCGGGAGGCAGAGCCAGGCGAATCTCCGTGAGTTCGAGGCCAGCCTGGTCTACAAAGTGAGTTCTAGGAAAGGCATAAAGCTACACAGAGAAGCCCTGTCTCAAAACAAAACAAAACAAAACAAAAAAACAACTGCAGCACTACCAACCTGGCCTTCACTCCAGCTCCTACTACAGATGTCTGCAGACATGTTGCACTTTGGAAAAACCTTGTGATTACTCAGACTTGGTCAGCACCCCCTCTTGTATTAGCTACTTTTCTGTTGCTGTAATAAAACACCGTGACCAAGGCAACTTATAGAAGAAAGAGTTTATTTGAGCCTGTGGTTCCAGAGGGTGAGAGTCCACCATGATGGGAGACATGGCAGCAAACAGCAAGCATGGCTTCGGGAGCGCACTGCTGAGAACTCCCATCCTTCACCACAGGCACAAGGCAGAAAGAGAGAGAACTAGCAATGATGCAGAGTCTACCTCCAGGGGGTAGAGCCTTTTCCCAACAAGGCCACACCTCCTAGACCTCCCCAAACAGTGCCACAAACTAGGGACCCAAGTGTTCAAACACCTGAGCCTATAGGGGACATTCTCGCTCCAACCACTGTACCCTCCTTTTTACATATATGCTTATAAATATGCACATATAAAATATGCATATATGCTGATAAATACATTTTCTTAGCACCATTCGCTTCCTGTTTCAACTATTTGATCATAGCCTCTCTTCTCCCACTGGCTCTGAGCTCCATGAAGGCAGGGGCCCAGTCTGTTTCACTCATTATATTCCCCAGCACCTGGCATAGAGCCCTAGGGGTACTGAAGGTGATGGTATATTTGTTGAGTGAAGCAGTGAATGAGAGACCTGCAGGACCACCACAGTTTAGAATCCCCGTTCCTCCCTTCACCCATTTAGCGAACATCTGCTCCCCCCCCCCCCCCCCCCCCCCCCCCCCCTTCAGAAACCCCCCCCCCCCCCCCCCCCCCCCCCCCCGAGACAGGGTTTCTCTGTAGAGCTCTGGCTGTCCTGGATCTCACTCAGTAAAACAGGCTGGCCTCGAACCCACAGAGATCCACCTGCCTCTGCCTCCCAAGTGCTGGGATTAAAGGTGTGCCCCACCACTGCCCAGCTCTGCTTTTTTTCTTTTTAATTAAAAGTATCTATGTGTGGATGTGTGTGTGTGTGTGTGCACAGTGTAGGTGCCCACTGAGGCCAGAAGAGAACATCAGAGTCCCTAAAACTGGAGCTACAGGTGGTTATGAGATTCGGGTGCTGGGCCCACTTTTGGGTCCTCTGAGGGAGTAGTACATACCTTTAGCTGCTGAGCTGTCTCTCTAGTCCCATATCCGGTTTTCTGTGGCACTGTCAAACATACTATGGCCACCATGCTGAACACATGAAGACACAGTCTCAGCCCATGGAGGATTCACAGCCTAGAGAGAGAAGACCCAGGGTTGAACCTATACCATGCTGTCTTGTGCCAGAGAAGAGTCATGTCCTCACCCACTCTTAATAAACCTCTAGGAAGTGGTAATCCTCTGGGGTGTTACAAAATTCCCCAAAATGTAGATGAGTTACATCTGGAGGGAAATATCAATAAGGAAAGACAATATTAGAAAGTTATCATTGGAACATTCAAGCATTTACCAAGTGTCAACTGTGTGTACAACTGTGATATGTAGTTACATTTTCTTACCTTCGAGATAAGGGAATTAAAAGTAGCTGAGTTGAGCAGCTTGCCCCAAAGAGGACACACACCTAGAACACACTGCCTTTCACTAAATATTTATTGAGTAAATGAATAGATGGGGAGCTAATTAGCAGAAAAGGACAGAATTCCACCCTAGGCTTCCTGGCTCCAAAGCTCCTGTTCTTCTATCCTCCAAATAAACTAGTTTGGAATCCTTGAGATCAGTACTAGAAAAATACCTACTGTTGGGCTCTGGATCTGATGTCCCCTGTCCCAGACCTTCCCAAATACACCTGACATCTAAGGAATCAGGCTTGCCTGGGACATGATTAAGTCTGGAGAACGAAGAGCAGAACTTGAGCCCACTGGAAAACTCTTGAAGGTGTGCTCTTCCTCATCCTGTTCCATCCATCTTCCTCCAACATCCCAGGCTTGGATTAGCTGACCAAGACGCCTACAAAAGCCGGGCTTGGCGGTGTGCTCCTTTAATTCCAGCACTTGGGAGGCAGAGACAGGCGGATCTCTGTGAGTTTGAAACTGGCCTGGCCTACAGAGTGAATTCCAGGACAGTCAGGGCTATAGAGAGATTCTGTTTCAAACAAAACGAAACAAAAACAAAGCAGAGGCTTACAGAAGACTGTGATGTGGGAGCATCTCTTGAAATAGTTGCTTGTGCTTGAGATAGTTGGTCTTTTCTTAGTAGTTCAGAAGTCTTTAAGTACCAGGTGATAGGCAGGGCAGGTAGGCATGTATGTACACATATGATCCTGCACATGTTTATACATGTGAGGAAGTCCATCCTTTCTTTAGCTCGCTCACAGTCCAGTGATATCTCCACTTCAGTTGCGGCACCCCCGTCTGCACCTTGAAGCTGACTCCCTGAAGACATCTATGAATTCAAATCCCTGCAGCGACCTTCCCCACTCATTTCTATCGTCCACACCTGGAAACGGTACTTGACCTTCCAGCTAACGCTCCCAGAAGACTCAGAGTGGGACTGTGAGTGGGGATCTTCCTCTTACTTTGAGGACGGCTCTGCCCTCTGGCAGTGGGTCCATTTTTCTTTAAAGAGCTAATGGATGGATGGATCATCAAGGAGCTAAGCTACACCTGGCACACAATAACCTCTCTAGTCTTGCTCACTATTAACGTTATTTATTATAGTTCATTCATCCTTCCTGACCAGCGGGAATCCCTCTTCCTACCCCCAATCCTCCTGGAGCTCTAAGTGTAAGTACCCACATCTGTGGCTGCCAGGGAGCTGCACGGGGCTTGGCGCCCTGAGAAACATCTCTGGGGTTAAGGGCTCCTGGTTAACATCACCGACATCTCAGTAGGATCTCACAGGTCCCTGGAAAATAGCATGTACTTGTAGTTCTCAAAGTCACTGTAAAAAAAGTCTCAGGAATCTCAGCACTGCACCCCAAACCTTAAAGTTCTTTGCTTTGGTGGGGAGGAGGTCAGAGTTACACTGTGTAGCCTGGGCTGTCCTTGAAATTGTGATCCTCCTGGCTCTGCCTACTAAGTGCTGAGATTGTAGCACATATGCCTCCATGTCTGGATCAAATACTATTTTTTTTTTTAAACAGAACCTCCTATAGTATAGGCTGGCTTTAAACTTGCTATGTAGCTGAGGACAGCCTCGAACTTCTGATCCTCCTCAATGCTAAGGTTACCGGCATGTGCCCACACACCTGGCTTATGCAGTGCTGAGGATGGAACTCCTGGCATCTTCAGACCTGCAGCACCAATACGGAGACGTTCCTACCATCAGAGCCACAGCTGCAGGTCGGCAGCTTTGCTGTTTGTTATTTCATTTGAGACATAGTTTCACCGTCTCCCAAACTGGCTTTAAATTGACCATGCAGCCCAGGCTGAACACTGTAAACTTTTAAGACACAAATGGCTTCCTAAACCCATCCTTTGCAGCTACCATCTTTTTTCCTAGGCAGAACTGAGCTCATACCCAGTGGCCAGTGCTTACCAGGGCAGTGTGCTTTTGGTTATAATCTTATTTCTCTTCCTTTGGTTCCAGTCGCCTTCCCCTCCAGCCAGTGATTGGTACTGAAGCTCTGCTTCATGTTAAAGTAGACTGCAGTTGGATAGCTACCAAGCATACCATAAGCAGGAGCCAGGGAGAATGAGAGGATTCAAACAAGTTGCAAAGAATCAGGATTCTCTAGGCAATGCTTGGGTTGTTTGTTTTTTTTTCCTTTGCTTTTGTTGTTGTTGTTGTTTTTTCTTTTTGGAGACAGGGTTTCTCTGTGTAGGCCTGGAACTCACTCTGTAGCCCAGGCTGGCCTCAAACTCACAAAGATCCATCTGCCTCTGCCTCCCTAGTGCTGGAGTTAAAAGCAGGTGTGTGTCACCATTGCCCTGCTGCAATATCTGTTCTTAAAGAGACAGGAGGCGTTTGTTTTAGGGTCTGTGGAAACCCAGGGATCTGTGACTAGAGGCGTATTAAGCTTAAGTTTTATTTGATCGTCTCTGGACAGGTGAGAGGGGGAAGGGAGATTATATGAAAGAAATCAACTAGAAGAGGTCGGCGATGGATTAAAAATTGGTGTACAACACGTGTTCATTCGATAGCCACATATCTCTGCCCCCTTTATTCCCACCTCCCTCCCCCCGCCCCCAGCCTGATGCAAGTGATACCTTGATGGCTGTTTCAGCTGCAACCCTACACAAGCAGAGAAGCCCCAGCTCCCAGCTGCCAGCCAATTCTGATCCCCTAATCCGAAAGGGACCAGCTGGTCAGAATTCTCAGGGACGACAGACCCCTAGTGCAAATGTGACTTCTGTTGCCAGCGCTGTGGTCAAGGTCAGACCACTTAACTTCTTTGCATACTATCAGCCTTAGCACCAGCCTCCCGAGAGACACTCACGCCACCCCAGATGGGAGTAAGAAGCAACGTGAAGTTCTTGAGAAAGTGTTCTAAAACTGAACCTCACCATTTCCCACTAGCATGACCAGAATAGTCTCCCCAACGTGGGTGGTCCAGCCAGCTTCATTTTTGGCCTGGACAGCTGTTGAATCATCGGTCACCAGGACAAAGTGAAGATGGCTCGGTGCCCTTCAGCCCTGCTGCTGAATGTGTATCCCATTACGATAATGGGGAAGTTAATCACTAGCCTCATGCTTGTCTGAGGGCTTTGTGAGTACCCCCAGATACTGCACGGCCTAAACCTGGATCAGCTGAAAACTGCAACCAGCACACACTTGCCTGGAGCTTGTGAGATGCGGAGGGGTTATCTACGATGAGATAAAACAGAAAGACTCCTCGGAAGAGAGGCTAATTGATAATTTGAAGAAATAGACATAAATTCCTACTAAATGTGGGCTAGTGCCCTTATTTCCCAGCCCTTCCCAAAGCCAGAAATTCAGTTGGGTGGTCATTGCCTGCTCAGTGACACTAAATTCTCCAGTAATCTGCAGGGATGTGTAATTATGCTATAGTTAGTGATTGTTCACTAAGTAAACCCTTGGTGTAGTTACCATGTAAGTCAACGGTATTTACAGGATATTTTTTCTGCCTGTAACTCAAAGCCTTACCGAAACAAATTGGAATTGCCTTCTGGAGGCCGTTGTTATAAATTACAGACCCAACATCTGTCCACATCTGCAATGTCTAGACAGCCTGTCTCAGCTACAAGAGAGGAGAGAGATGAACAACAGAAAGCAAGAGAGACTGAGTTGTGGCAGAGGGAAGCCTCAGATTCACTGAGATTTTTTTTTCTTCCAAGGTTTACCCCGATGCATGCTTCTGAAATGGACCTGAACCCTCAGCAGCCCAAAGCTGAGCTCAGGAAAGCTACAGTATGTGCACCACTTTGAGACGGTGGGCAACATAGCACTTCTGTTGGGACAATCTCTGCCCAGATGTGCTTTTGGTGGGGCCTAGAAGGTCAGGTCAAATGCAGAGACAGAGAGGGATCCGGAAAAGAGACTTCTGCTTCTTCAAAGTTCCCCGTCTCCTCTCTCCACCCTCTGTATTTCCTGACCTGGCTCTGGAGGAGGGGAGGCATCCATTCGCCTACCTTTCTGGTGGTCCCTCTCCTGCATCCACGATAAGGAGCCTGCCCGTCAGCTGAGTGATTGTATTTTTTTACAGTTCCTAGCACAAACCTTCTCATTTATATGTAAAGCAGCCATTAGTCATAGCTCCGTTCCCACACACTGCCTGATGTACAATCACATTTTGCAGCGGATGAATCTTTCCACACAGCTGCTCTGCTATGAATAATCCGTCTCCAGGCCCATAAATCAGAAAAAAATCATGCACCTCGTTCGCCTGATCCTTACACAAAGTCATATATTTTACATGAGGACGAGCTAAATATTCATGAGTCTTAAAGGCTTTTTTCATAGGCACTTGTTGGGGTTGTTTTCCACTATTGGGGGGAATACCAAGGTTATATCTATGAGGGAACAAGGGATTTTTAGAGGAAGAGGAGACAGAATCTCTCTCTCTCTCTCTCTCTCTCTCTCTCTCTCTCTCTCTCTCTCTCTCTCTCCCTCTGTGTGTGTGTGTGTGTGTGTGTGTGTGCGCGCGCGTGTGCGTGTGTGTTGTATATTTGAGAGAAAAAAAAGTGAGAGAGCTTGATTCCAGCTTATCTCTTGGTCTAGGGGTCACATGGGACAAAAGATGGTCATGTGGGGTCTTAGAAATATGATAAATACCTGCTTACCTGAGCTTCTGACTTGCTCTGGGTTGTGGATTTTGCCTCCCTGAGCTTCAAGGTCATTTTATAAACCTTTGCCCTCTGACCTGTGGAGCAATGAATTTGACCTTTTTCTGTGTGCAGATGATGCAGAATTTGGGGTGGGGGAGTATGAGGGGGAGAATCACCACATGTAAAATAATTCACCCTGATGCTAATAAAGCCCCCACCAGGCTGCGTGTGGTGACACACCTGTAATTCTAGCTGTGGAGAGAGTAAGGCAAGAGTCTAGCCTGGGCTACATAGTGATTTAACAAAAAAAGTTCCCTACCTAGGCACACTGAAGGCTTCCAACAACTCCATCATTCCCTGTGTGTCGCTTATGTTAGGGGACAATTAAGGTGGCTTTCCTAATCCTTAGCTCTTTTCAAATTAAAAAAAAATTCTTCCTGGAACGCACCTTAAATCCTCTCCCTCTCTCCCCAGTGCAAAACTCCATCCTCCCAGACTGCCCCCCCCCGCCCCCCCCCCCAGCTAACAGAAGGCGAGCTGGAGGAGTTCCCTGCTTGGCTGTGCCAGGCCCACACTCCCGCCTTCCCTCGCTAACCCACTTGTCATCCCAGCTCCTCTGCTGGCAGGTGCTTTTTCATTTGATCCTGGCATTCGCTCAGCATTTGTCTCAGTGCTCAGTGGCGCTGTCTGTCTGACTCATTAATGCCGTGGTCTGCAGTGGAGACGATGATGTGTCCTCACTTCCCTTCAAAGGTGAAAAAAATTTCTTCCTCCTGGTTTCACTGACAACATGAAGAACGGATGTGGAGGCAGAGATCTCTCAGATTCAACAGAAGATCTGGAAACACATAAGAGCTCCGACTGTGTTAGCTTTCAGGGCATAAGGACAATGCCTGGGTTCAAGGGGCTGTCCTCTGAGGATGAATAGTATGGAAACTGTAAGGACACCTCTCGGTGGGTTATCCTTTATTTAAAAATCTCATTGCTGAGGCCAGGGGTGTAGTTCAGTCTGAAGAGTACTTACAACAGAGAAAGTTCAAGTCTGGGCAATTTAGTAATATTTTGTCTCAAAAAAAGTAAGAAGAGCCAGGTGTGGTGTGCACTCCTTTAATCCCAGCACTTGGGAGGCAGAGGTAGATGGATCTCTGTGAGTTCAAGGCCAGCCTGGTCTACATAGTTACTTCCAGGACAGCCAGATCTACATAGTGAGACCTTGTCACACATACACACACATACACACACACACACACACACACACACACACACACACACACACACACCAAATAAATAATAAAAATAAGAAGAAGACTGGGGATATAACTGAATGGTAGAAAGCATGTGTGAGGCCTTAGGTTCGATCCCCAACTACTCTTGTCTACTACGTATATAGGATCTGTGAGACTCTAGGTTTGATTCTATAAGAAATATTAAATATGAGTCTTTCTATCAAATACAACAAAATTTGTGTTTGGGATGAGGAGTTTAAATCTCAATCCTCCCCATCTTGTAAGACTTTTATGTAAATATTTTAATAACATCCCATCACTGCCATTTCCCACCACACACACAAACACCAGCTAAAACCATACAAAAGATTACTGTCGCATTCTAGAAATTTGATAGTCTGGAGCAGTGACCCTGTTCTTCCCCTTTTCTTTTTCATTTCGTGTGACCAGTTCTTTTAAGACCAGCCAATTGAATAAGACTGTGAGGTCAGGCCCCAGGCAGGAGGGAAAGAGTCAGCCACACCTGGGTTAGAATGGAAACCATGTGCACTTCCAGCCTCCTTTGATCACTCTTCCTGGCATACTCTGCTGACCAAGAGCTCAGACACTTCACTGGAATAGTGATCCCTTTCCTTGTGACCCTGACCCTTATCTCTAACAATCCTAGTACCACCAACCAACCAAACAAACAAACAAATAAATCACTTCTTGTGCTGACTATCTTCTGTTATCAGATTGATACAACCTAGTGTCATCAGGGAAAAGAGAACCTCAACTGAAGAATCACTCAATCAGATAGCCTTTGGCCCTGTCTATAAGTGATTGCCTTGATTGATTATTGATCTGGGAGATCCCAGCTCACTGTGGGCAGTACCATTCCTAGGCAGGTGGTCCTGGGCTGTATAAAAAAGCTAGCCAAACAAGCTGGAGGTAGCAAGCTGTTAAGAAGTGTTTGGTCCATTTTTTTAAAAAAACAGTCTCTCTATGTAGCCCTTGTCTTGGAACATTCTATGTAGATCAAGCTGGCTTTGAACTCACAAAGATATGCCTGCTTCTACCTCATGAGTACAGGGATCAAAGGTGTGCACAGCCACACCTGGTTGGTTCTTGGTTCTTGCATCCAGATTCCTGCCTTGAGTTTCTGGCCTGACTTCCCTCAGTGATGAACTGTAACTTAGAAGTGTAAAATGAAATAAACTCTTTGCTCCCCAAGTTGCTTTTGGTCATGGTGTTTACCACAGCAATAGGATCCTTCTCTAACAGATGGGCAAACCAAGGTATGACCTTGGCAATGACTTTTTCAAAGACAGATCAAGAGGTGATGATAGGAAGCTACAATTATATCTGAGTTTCCTTTTGTGATTTTTGACTCTGGATATCACCCCCACACACCCCAACTTCCAGAGCCAAAGGCCATGGGTCAAAGCTTCTCCCTACTTCTCTGAACTCTGTGGGCTTGTCCTGTTTGGTTGCCCCTTGCTCCTCTCCTGCTTGAAACCCACTTTTCCTCCTGTTCAAGGAACATTAAGTCAGAGAACTGCCAGAGAGGAGAGAAAAGTCCAAACAATCACAGATGGCAGACTCGAAAATTTAATTTAAAATCATTCTTTATTATCCAAAATATTAAAATTAAAGCTATAATGCCCAAAGGAAAACACAGATTAAAACCCCCAATGTTTCACAGTCTCTTCCTCAGGGGGTCCCCAAAACATTGAGTGAGAATGCTTTCGAAAAGGAAGCAGGGGTGCTGGAGCCAAGAGCCAGCTGTAGATCATTGAGCCAAATGCTCAGTGACTGACCCAATCAGCTTCCCTTAAAGCCAAACACCAACTGTTTCATATGCAATTAATGATTGCCCTGGCAAATTAAAGTGCATCAAGTCGTCACAGGCATCCTTGAATGACAAGGCGCACAACACTCACAGGTATCTCATCCCTGGCATCTACATAATGATATTACCAGGGTAATCTGGGCTTGGAGGTTTAATTCTGCAAAACACCATGCGCTAAATATTTATATTCATAAAGGGTTGGAAAAAAATGTTTGCACGCTACCTCTTGGTTCCCCATTTATCTGGACTAGGCCTCGGGCGCACTTGCTGAGCCTGTGATAGAGGGTTAAAAAGCATGAGTTGATGCTATTAAAATCCCACTGTTTCTGGTCCCCAACTTCACCCTTCAAAAGGAGCTTATTGCGGGATTGTGTATTTGGAGGTACCCGAAGAACAGCAAAGTCTCTCTCTTCCCTGGAGATGCCAACGCAGAAAAGGAAGCCCCTTCATATTTCAGGGCTAAGAAAGGGGCAGCAGGATTGATGAACATGTCTGTTCCTCACTCTTTGGTGCAGAAAATCAGAGTCCAGAGGGGAAAAGCAAAGACCATTTCAGCCATCCTTTACAGATCTTGAATTATCAGAGAAATCACAGATGTCTGATTTGGGATGTCACTGTGTTTGAACTATAAAACTGAAGAATAAGGTCGTTCTAAATAATCCTAAGTAAGCCAGTGCTGATGGGAAAGAAATGTGTTTTGTGGTCTTCTGGGTTTGTCGCCATTTCCTCTCCAGAAGCTTGAGTCTAAGCTATGGCCCTTCAGAGCCCCCCAGCATAGAAGGCATGGATCCTAAAGGGCTTAGCTGAGCCTCTACCCTCAGGGGGTTGCCAGCATCATTTGTGTTCATCTGGACATTGATTTTCTCCCCCTGCTGGCATTTCAAAATGGAATTGTTCAATCCAGTGCCCTCTGCCATTTCTCTCTCCCTGGCATCAAAGGCAGATGATGGAGCCTGTCTGTTCTCTGTGCACATCATGACTTGAAGCCTTCAGCAGCTTTTCCAGGGCTCAGCATATTATAATCAAGATGGGATCAGCTAGTGAAATTACATTGGCTGCAATCTAGAAAGATTAACCAGCCTTCAGGGTTTCATGGCTAAGCATTACATTTTTCAATTTTCCTCCAATTAAGTTAACAACAAATAATATTGACAAACAAACTGCCTGATCACTAACGGAAGCCCTTCAACAGGAAGGGAGAATGCTTCCGTGAGTGTGGCCATTGCCTGCTCTCAAGAGTCAGCCTAAGGCTGGGGGTGTAGCACAGTTGGTGGAGTGTTTGCCTAGAATGCATGGAACCCTCAGTAAAATTCCCAGCACCAGCTAAACTATGTGTGAACGTACACAATACAATCCCGCAACCAGGAGGTGGAGGCAGGAGAATCAGAAGTTCACAATCATCCTCAGCTACTAAGTCTGAAGCCAGCCTGGGCTATATGAGACCCTGACTCAAAAACACAATCTTGTTACCAAACAGACAAATAACACAACGTCCCGTCTGTGAGTTCTAACATGTTGGACAGTGGCATTCTCAAGCTTCTTGGGTGCAGAGGGAAGGGGAATAATTGTTGGTCTTACTTCTAAAAAACATTAAAA